AAAGGTTTTTTTCACCCTTTGGAGGGATGGGCAAAACAGCCTGTCCGTGAACTGTTGTGTGTGTGTCGATCTAGATTCCAGGGCCAGGGGTGCAAGATGATGTTCGAAGGGGGTACAAAAACTTGGGTTTAGAAGTTTCAAAATTATAGCCTATATGGACAATTACAGGCATATAATTATTTACTTTTGTAAGGGGTGCGAGAATATATCAGACGCGTTCTAGGGTTGCGGGGTATAGAAAAGGTTGGGAGCCCTGAACAATGTTTCTCAGCCTCAACAACTTTAAGATGGGTGGACTTCAATTCCCATCTGGCTGGGCAATTCTGGGACTTGAAGTCCACCCATCTTAAAGTTGTTGAGGCTGAGAAACATTGTTCAGGGCTCCCAACCTTTTCTATACCCCGCAACCCTAGAACGCTTCTGATATATTCTCGCACCGCTTGCAAAAGTAAATAATTATATGCTTGTAATTGTCCATATACGCTATAATTTTGAAACTTCTAAACCCAAGTTTTTGTACCCCCTTCGAACATCATCTTGCACCCCTGGCCTTAGAATCTAGATCGACACACACACAACAGCTCACGGACAGGCTGTTTTGCCCACCCCTCCAAAGGGTGAAAAAAACCTTTAAACTCAACCGAGTGGGAACCCTTTGAGTAGGTTGGAACCCACGAAAGAGCTTGGGCATCACGTGCCCTGCCTCGTCGAACGAATATCTCGTTGAACCCAGTGGGCTGCCAAGCATCGCATGATGCCACCTTGACAAGCCACAACATTACAAGGGTAATCAAAGGGATTGGCGTTCATTGTCTAGCTAAGCCGGGGCTGAGGGCAAAGCCTTTAATTATCTGGATTACCTAAGAATCCAGGGCCAGCTATCCTTTCCTCCCGCTGCAGAGCACGTTCAGTATAACCTAAAGTAGAATCAGACACAGCCTGCTTTTCAGAAGGCCAACCTCTTCAGGAAGGAGCAACGCTTGTACAGAGGCTGCTTCCGGGGATGGCGCCCCTCATTAAGGCAGCCAGTGATTAGAACAAACTCTTTCTGGCTTTAGACACTAAAATCAGGTGCGAAGAGTCAACGGCCCAACAGGCCTTGCTGGAAAGCAACTTTCTGCCTGCCAAATGGAGGTCCTGGAATTGTCTTTCAGCCACATCTGAAAAGTCTCCACTCCCAAATTTGGCCCTAAAGCCACCTTTCCTCAAAGGAGCACCTGAGGTGGATTGCAGGCACCCCAGAATTTCCTGAAGCTGTTTCCAAAACCTATTTGGAAGGGGCCCCATTTATAATCCTTCCAGAGGGAGGGAGAGAAGGAAGGAAGGAAGGGAGGGAGGATAGAGAAACACAGAAATTCACATGATTCTACCAAGTTGCCTGAAAACAAGGAACTTGAGGGGGCGAATAGAGCTCTTCTTCTCTTTCAAATGGCAGGAAAACTAGTTTACTGTCTCTGGTTTTTGGACAGTAAAAGCAGCAGCAGGAGGAGGACGAAGAGGAAGGAGGAAAGAAAAGGAGGAAGGGGAAATGATTTAGGCAGCCCAAAGGCAGCTCTGGAATCCAAATGCATTTGCACCAGACGGATCTTTGCCTGGTTTCATGTGAGCCATCCGCCTTAAGCACTATATCCAGTCATGATTAGCTCTTCCATCTTTCCGGGGGTTTCCCCCCTCCCCTCCAAATTAATCTCTTTTGGAAATATATCACAGTGTTATTAAGAAGTTTGTTAATCGCAGGGTGCATTACGTCCACCATGATTTAGTTCACCTTTCTGGATTTATGTGAAATATGGAACCATAAATCAAGCATTTGGATGACCTCACTGCATACCCTGAGCTAAAAGGCTCCTGTGTGAAGCTCATTAACAGTCCCTATTTTCATATTGTTAGCGTATTTATTTTAACATTTGTATGCATATGCACAGAATTTCA